TCCCGCCCATCCCAGCCCAGCCCGGGCTAGCAGTCCTTCTCAGAGCCTCCGGCAGCAGCTGCGAAAAGAGGTCCCCCACGGCCTCTAGGGGCCAGGATCCAGGGAAGACCCGGAGACGGCGCCGATCCTCAAAGGGTCCCCCACGCCAGCCACTGGGGACCGACCTGGAACCCCCCATCAGAGATCTCGGGAATCGCCGCTGAGTCAGCAACACGCGCGCGCGCCCGCGAAGGCCGCGGCCCCGCCCCGGCCGCCTAACGCCTGGGTTAACCCCTTCCTACACAGAACAGCAGGATATTCGCCCTAAGAGGCCTCCACTCTGTTCCGAGACCACAGAATTCCTTAGAATCTCAAGCCACTCTCCCTAGCTGAGTTCGGTGAGCTGTGAGCTCTATATTCGATTTTATTTCTGGCCTAAGTCTGCGCCTTCCCAGAGTGCCTGCCTCAACTGCTTCACCTCAAAAAGGAGGTGAGGCCAAGTGCAGTGGCTCACACCTGTAATCCCAGCACTTTGGAAAGCCAAGCTGGGAGGATCGCTTGAGCCCAGGAGTTCGAGACCAGCCTAGGCAACATAGTGAGGCTCCATTTCTACAAAAAATAAATTTAAAAAATTAGCCAGGCATAGTGGTGTGCACCTGTAGTCCCAGCTCCTGGAGAGGCTGAAGTGGGAGGATCCCTTGAGCACAGGAGTTCGAGGCTGTAGTAAACTATGATGGCTCTACCGCACCCCAGCCTGGGCGAAACAGCGAGACCCTGTGTGGAAGAAAAAAAAAAAAAAAGGACAGGGGAGAGCTGAATCAGACCCAGAAACTCGAGAAACTGGACTCCTCTCCAGACGTGGAGGGCCACCTCCAGAGCTACATCCTCTTAGTAGCCAAGGCGTTTCCCTTTCTCAGGGACCCTGAGACGAGACAGGGGTTCAGAGAGCGACAGTTGGGTTTTCCTCTGTCCTGTACCAAAGCTCCTCACAGGGATTTTAATTTGTTGGTTGGTGAGCCAAGAGTTAAACCAAGAGCCTGAAGGCGGGCTTCCGTGACGTCACTAGCACCCCGCGTCCGACCTCAGAGACTGGGGCGTGGCTAACATCTCGTCCCCTCCCTCCCTGTTTCCCCGCCCCTCCCCGCTGTCACCCAGCCAGGGGCACATGATGCAACCCACCGGGGTTTCAGCCGTCTGATTGGTAGCCGCGCCCGGCGCCAGGCACAGGGATTGGACAGAGGAGGCTGTGACGAAACCTGGACCCTGCCTAGTAAAGAAGGGAGGAGAGAAAGAAGAGAGAAGGGGGGG